GAAATATAGTCAACAAAGTTATCACTAAAAGAAAGAAGAATTATAATAATATTATTTAAAAGTTATAAAACTTAGAGCAAAAATAATAAAAAGCGGAAAAGGGAAAAATATAATAATAAATTATTTTCACGCTTATAATTTATCGTTAAAAAAAGAAAGAAAGTTGAAAAAAAAGAAAAAGGGAAAAAAGACGCGTTTATATAATAGCGAATGCAGATTCTGTTATATCACGTGACAAACGTGAAAACATGTAATTAGATATGACAATTATTTATTTATTTACTTTTCAGGAAAAAAAGGCATAATAAAATTTATTTATTTATGCTAAAAACAAAAAAAAAAAATTGGAAAACATTAAAAATAAAAATAAATTCTATAGGTTTCTTCCACCCAATTCTTTTTCCAATTCTCGTCTTCGGACTTTCCTAATCCAATTATTCATAGCATCATAAATATTATCAAATACTCCACATTGTTCCCAATCCAAAGTATCTTCATGCAATATAAAATCTCCTTGCTTAACTCTTTCTAATTCAAGTAAATAAGCAGCATTATTTAATGAAAATCCGATATCATGAATAATTCTTTCTATTGATGTACTCGGAGAACATTCTATTTCAACTTTAAAAATTGGATTTTTACTTTCAACAGATTTAATTAAATTAGTTAAAGGAGAAGCAGCAGGCATAGATGTAGTTTTTGAAGATAATGGAGTTTTTGCCAAGGATTTTATCATTCTTTGTACTGAAGGTGAAGCTAAAGGTGTGCTGGGGCCACCCCACTTATATTCATCATCCTCCTCTTCATAATCATTATCATTATCATCATTATATTTTCTTGTCCTGTCTGTAGGTAATGGATAACTATGTAATTTTTTAAAATCTAATAATTCCATTCTATAAATTTTCTTGGGAGTTGTAAATTCAATGACTTTTTCTGCTGGTTGAGGTCTAGTATATTCTTGTAATAATCTTTTCTTTTTTTTCTTTCCAAAAGTGTTTAAATGTGTTATCCATGCTGGTTTTTCGGGTGTTGGTGGTGTCGCAGGCATTCTATAATAAAAATATAAAATAAAAATATTAAAAATAATAAAAATATTAAAAATATTAATTAATATTAATTAATATTTAACACAAATAATACCACATAAATTAAAGGTCATTACTTACACAATTTCACGATTATATACTTTTCCAACTAATTTTGGTAGAAGTTCTGCTAAAGTATCTTTACTAATTTGGGATGCAGGTATTTGTTTTACTGGATCACCTTTAAAATCTTTAGTATCTGTAGAAAAACCCAACATTCCTGTTGCATGAATTATCTATTTATGATAAAATTAACAAGAATTTTCATACTACTTTTTTCAAAAAAAAATAGTTTTTTTTATTTGCAACAAAAAAAGTAAATTATTATTAATGAAGGAAACCACGCGCAAATCTTACTTCATTCATCTTTTCCTGTTCTTTCAATAATCTATTTCCTTGATTTACACCAACCACTACCACGCCAGTTGCCCAACTTTTTGTTGTGAGAGACATACAAGTACCCAATTCAACCACCTGTCTTCTTGTCATTTCAAATCTTGTTGCCTCAGCATGTCTACGAAAAGTTTGATTTATAAATTCAAGTACTTGGTGAACTGTTAAACCTTTCGGCTTATTTACCGCAAATAAACCTTGAACCTTTTCTTTTTTTGCCATTCATTAATGTTTTATGAGGTCGGAGAGAATTTTTGCTATTTTTTTTTGTATAAGTAGATTATCTTTTATCGGCCAATCAAATTTTTGTGAATCATTAAAATATTACATATAAAGGCATATAATTAATTATATAGTATAAAACACTATTTTTATAACATTTTAAATTATTTTCTTTTTTTAAAAAAAAAAAAAAGATCAGGATATTATAAAAGTTGTGAAAAGTAAATCAAAAAATTTTTTTTTCAGTTATAAGTAAACAATAAACAATAAATAACTTTTGTTAGGATAAAAAAGTTTGCCAGCAAGGTTTAGTGAAAAGGCCCGTTGTCACGTGAAATATTCATTGGTAATTGGAATTAAGATCATCATTCACGCATTCAAAATATAAAATTGGAAATTGTCCGCATTGTCAATTTCTATTACTATTATTTTTTTGTATATCGTTTATTCGTAAGTTGAACGCGATATTTTTATCGTTACTGCGTTTCTTCCGCAGCTAATTGTTAAATTAATTAAGGCCAAATTCCTTTATTTATTTTAAAAAAAAATACTTTAAAAAATATTCCGAAATGTTTTAATATTTTGAAATAAAAAATAAAAGAAAATATGAATAATTCATTTTTTTTGAGTCCCAAAACGAATTCTTATTCTCGAATTCAGGCAATGTCACCTCCCTCACCTTTTTACAATGCGCCACTCACTCATATATATTGTTTGGACCCGATTGCATATGACGCGTATCAGTCTCGCTTGACGTATTTCAAATGCGAAGAACAACAAGTGGACGAATTACGATTAGAAGAAGCGCAAAGATTAGCGGAAGCTAATTGGAGTAAATTTGAGAGTACGTAAAAAATATTCACGTATAATTCTCAATAATCAAGTTTTCTAGCTTTTAATTAACCATCTAGACATGTCAGGCTTTGAATGTAAATAATATAGATTTACATATTTTTATTATAGTCATCAATTACAAAATTTTTATTTTTAAATAACATATTAATCACTATTGATTACAAAACAAATTATTTTTTTATATATTAAAAATTTTCTAACATCATTTATTTTGTAATAGCTGTTAAGTCCCATCTCTTGACAGATGAAAACTTTATTGAACCTGCTAAATTTCCTCCATATACAAGAGTTCATGTAGAAGATACTGTAAAACGTTGTAATATTGCAACTTTCTGTAATCTTATATTTTACAGAAATAATCCCAATTTGGATTTATTGATGGAAGCAGAGAGAACATTGTTTTATTATGTAATGTCGAAAGAAGATTTGCAAATGCATTCACGTTTAGCTTGGAAAATCGGACTTGAACTAAAAACACAGGTTTTTTTATGTTTATTTTTATTTTAATGGGGGTTTATTAAATTATTATTATTATAATTGTATTTAAATTATATTGAAAATAAAATTTAAATATTTTAGCAATATATTCAAGCCATAAAACTTAATTCAAGAGAGAATCAGCTTGCCAACTATTTTTCACGAATTACTGAACAACCTCCAGAATATTTAGAAGAATATAATAAGAGAAGGGAACATGTATGTATATATAATCAACTTTCTTTCTCCAATCATAGCTTATTATTTTTATCTTTGTATCTATTTATTACAGATGGCAAATTCTGATCCTAGAATATTGGCAGAAAATTTCCCATGGCGTGAATTTCTTCGAGAAATATTCAATTTAATACATAATATAGCGGATACTCTCGCACCTCCCAAAATTACTGAGGTATTTTATGAAATCATTTACATTTTTTTTTTTCATTTTTAATATATTTCCTTTGGAATTTTAATAAGCTCACTCAAATCTTTTATTTTTAGTCCGCCAAAATGATATTAATAAACACAGTGAATTCTCAAAATTTAGCGAGGACCAGTTTAGTCCAGAACATGCCATCACCCGTAGATTTGACACAAGATGAAGATGGTGATTTTTTGATGGATGAAGAACCACGGAATGAAAAGTAAGTGTTTATTTAACTAAATATTTGTATCAAAAAAAAAAAATATTATTTTCTTTTAATCTATAATTTTTATTTTATTTGCTAGTACATCTACAGAAGCTAGTAAATTCTTCATCCCCTGGAATAAATTTCGAAATTCCACTGAAAGGGACATATCTAATGCAATGGATAACATGGGAATTGGGTAATTAATTAAAGATTACATTTATGATTAAATTTCTTATTAAACCTATGATTATATTGATTATATGCACATGATCTTTTTCAAAAACTTATTTCATTTTGATTTGTAGACCTCTAGGAGAAAATATAAATTCAAACGATGCAATAAATAATGGAATCTTAGTTTCTGATCCTGTTGTCGCTTCCACGTCAGCTGCTGCAACATCACCATTGTCAATAAATGGAGGTGTTACTTCATTAAATGGTGGGGTTACGTCAGTCAATGCATCTATTATAAATGTTCCCATGTCTCCCATGAGACTAATCCCAACGGTTTTAATCACTGACCCACCACCACCATTTGATGATGACTCCGAAAATAATGAAAATGATGATGATGACATGTCAGATTCTGATGATCTTGATAATACTATCATTTCATATGATAGGAAATCAAATTCCAAATCTCGAAAATCTCGTTCTGAATGGAGTCAGAGCGAATTAAACGCATTAATAGAAGGGATGAAAGAGTTCGGAACAGCCTGGGCTCAAATAAAGGTCAAATATAGTAGTGTACTTAGTAAACGTACTCAAGTACATCTAAAAGATAAAGCTCGTTCGGAAAAGGAACGGAGAATCAAATCCAATTATCCTCTTGGCATTTTTGAAATAGTAAAGTAAGTTAATTTTGTTAATAATTTCATTTAAGATAATTTTAATAATCTTTATTTTTATTTTATTTTATTTTATTGAATTAGGACTCATATTAAATTCAAAAAACCAGACTCACTCCCAGATGAAATTTATGAAATGTAATTTTTAATTGAATTATATATGAATTTATTTTTTGAGATTGTATTTTTGGTTGTTCTTTTTTTTTTATTTTTTTTTTTTTATTTTGTAAATTTTTATTATTAATCTTGCATAAACAAAATAGAGTATTATATATAAACTTATCGAACATCATAAATAATAAAATGCACAATTTTAAAAAGTTGAAATTTCTATATTTATTATTTATAACATTATATATTCCCTCCCGCTTTATTTGAAATCAGTTCGAAATCTCGGGTTGTATATCAACGTAATGCACCCTCCAAAAAAAAAGTTAGCCATCTTAAAAGAAAAGAAGTTAAACATGGCAATGTCAATTCCCAGTGAACTCTCAAAGAGAGTACACACTTGGAATTAGTATTCTGGTTCAGCCAAATACCTTTATAGGATAAGCCTAGTGAGCAAGTGTTCAAAAGAAGAACTGTGTGGGTTAGGGAAAAGACAGTTTTCGGCATTTTTATATTAGTTAAGATTCTTGCTGACCAATCACAACATTAATTACATGATCCAATGATCCAATGATCTACAATAATACAATTATTTATACAATCAAGGAATTGTCAAAGACTCTTTCAAAGATATATTTTTTGTAAGAATGAGTAACATTTACATAACAGAGCCACATACTAGGTTAGAGATTCTTTCATTTGAATATATATACATATAATATATATATGTATACTTTGTTTAAGCAAATCTTATATCATTTATAATTCACATTTTATTAGTGGCAAGGTTATTCTTCATACAACGGCGGGAGACATTAACATGGAACTTTTTGCAAAGGAAACACCTAAGGCATGTCGGAATTTTGTACAATTGTGCCTGGAAGGACAATACGATGGAACTATTTTCCATAGGTAGAATCAATGAATATAACGTTTAAATAGAAATTGATAAATGGTTGTTAAAAATTAATTATGTAATTTAGAATAGTTTCTGGATTTATTATACAGGGAGGAGATCCAACTGGCACCGGCTTTGGTATGTTGATTATTTTATTTTTTTTTGATTTATTTTTGATTTATTTAATTTATTTTTGATTTATTTAATTTATTTTTGATTTATTTAATTTATTTTTGATTTATTTAATTTATTTTTGATTTCATAGGTGGTGAATCAATATACGGTGCTCCATTCGCCGATGAATTCCATACTCGGTTAAGATTTGTACGGAGGGGATTGGTGGCAATGGCAAATTCTGGAAGAAATGATAATCGTAGTCAATTCTTTATCACTTTAGACAGAGCAGATGAATTACAGAATGTGAACACTATTTTTGGAAAGGTAGTTGGAGATACAATTTTCAATGTTTTGAAAATTGGTGAACTTGAAGTTGATAAGAATGAACGACCACTTTACCCACCTAAAATTTTATCAACTGAAGTGATATGGAACCCATTTGATGATATTGTTCCACGCATCACAGTAGCAGAAAAAATTGCACAAAAATCGGGTTCTGTTACGAAAGTAGAGGAACCATCCAAGAAAAAACTTAAAAAGTACGTGTTATATTATTAATTTATTATGATCTATTTATTTATTTATTTGTTAATTACTTAGGAATGTTGCATTATTGTCATTCGGTGAAGAAGTTCAAGAAGATGAAAATGATAACGATTCAAGTCTAAAAATTAAAAGTAGTCATGATTTGGTTGAAAATGATCCACGATTGAGCAAAGAGTTAGCTGTCAAAGAATCTGAACAAAAATCTTGGTTTTCCCCAATTGGTTTGGAAGAGGTTATTACTTTTTATTTTTATTTTTATTTTTACTTGTATAAAATAATTAACAAATTTCAAATAAAAACAATTTTTTTTTTTAATTAGTCAAAACTACAAGTCAAAGATAAAGTAATCGAGAAAACAAAGGTTGAAAACACTGAAGTTGGACGGTGGGAAGAAGATTCAGTAGCATTCGACCGTAAAATGAAAGAAAATTTACGTCAACTTCAAGAGTCAGCAAAACTAAATGCATCTAAAAATAATAAAAAAAACATAGAAGAAAAAAAATTATCTAAAACGTTAGTTTTAAGCCAAGGAAATTATTTGGATACTTAATTTTTTAACTTGTCACCCAATTAAAGGAAATGACTTTTATATTTGCAGGGATATTATGAAACAAGAAATTGAACAATTAAAACAAGATATAAAAAGAATGGATCGACCAAAAGATCATGACGATGATGTTCCAAAGAAAAAGAAAGCAAAAATATCTTATGTAGATACGGAAAGGCTGAGATTTTTATCATCAGGAAAGGCTGCTGCTGCAAAGAGAAAAAAAGGAAACGAGGCGGATGTAAGTAAAAAAAATAATGTTTAAAAGGTTCATGTGCAGAAATCTAAATTATTATTATTTATATCCATTATCCCATTTTTTTCTTACTTAATAATAGACACTGGCCAAATTGCAATCATTTAAAACAAAAATTATGATAACAGAACCAAATGTGGAAGAACCAACGGAAGGAAAAGATGAAGGAGAGCCATGTGTACTTCACTCAGTTCCCAATTGTCTTTCATGTCGAGATACATTTGGACAACCAAAGGAAGAAGACACTGATGAAGGATGGTTAACTCATCGCCTTGTATTTGTAAAAGATTACATGGGCAAAGATTTAATGCAGAAAAGGGATGATCCAGATGATTATATAGTAATAGATCCGTTGGAACGTAAAAAAGAAGCATTTAAGCAAGAAAAGGAAAAACGAGCAAAAAACAATAGTATTAGTGAAGTATTTACAAAGAGAGATAGGGATCGAGATCGACATCGAGATTCTAAAGACAGATATGTGGTTGAAAGTGATCGATATAGAGACCACGATCGTGACCGTGACCGTGACCGTGACCGTGATCGTGATCGTGATCGTGACCGTGACCGAAATCGTGACCGAGATCGTAGGGATAGACGTCATTAGACGTAATTAATCGTCATCAATCTAATCATAGTAACGATTATCATCATTTTGTGAGATGATAATAAGTATTGTATTACTTATTGTTGATCTATCGAAAAATTTTTTTTTTTTTTTTTATAATTATTTCATTTTTTTATTTTAATAATTTTTGGACATTAATAATGGAAGATAGCGAGACTATAGAAACACCCCTTGTAAATTCTAAAACTGTAAATCCCGACACACAATTTAATAAAAATGATCAAATTATAGATTCCGAAATCATTTTTGAGTTTGGCGGACCCTGGGGAGTTACTGCTATAATGCTTGGGTTCCCTACCCTCATGTTTTACTTATGGGGATGCCTTCAATTTTATAGCGGAAATTTAGTTTCACCTTTTAGTATGGAACTTTGGAGTCAAATAGTTGAAGGTGCAGCTCCCACGTGGTATTCCGCGAAAGTTTATATATTGTTTTGTCTTTTCGAATTTTTTTTGGCCTACATTATGCCAGGACCGATTATCAAAGGTGTCCCCGTTTCCTCTCTAGAGGGTAAACAATTGGATTATCTTTGTAACGGGTTAATTTCTTGGTACGCGACTCTTGCAATGTCCTATATATTACATTATTATGGTTGGTTCCGACTTACGGATATTATTAATAACTTTGGGCCATTGATGACGGTTGCTGTCATTACCGGATTTGTTATTACCTTGTTGATATACGTTGTCACTGTGATTCAAGGAAAGCAATACCGCATGTCAGGTTATCTGATGTATGATCTCTTTATGGGAGCAGTATTAAATCCACGTCTCGGGAGAGTTGATTTAAAAATGTTTGCTGAAATTCGAATTCCTTGGGTAATTAGTATATAATATTGAATTATTCCTAAAGAATTATTTATTATTATTATTACGTTCTTATATTAAATATATATATATATATATATAATTTTTTTTTTTTTGGTTCGTTAAAAGGTTATTCTGTTTTACGTTTCTGTTTCGGCTGCAATTAAAGAATATGAAATGTTTGGATATGTATCTTCTTCAATGACTTTTATGGTTCTCGCTCATTTTTTGTACGTGAATGCATGCGCCAAAGGTGAAGAATGTATTCCAACGACATGGGACATGACATATGAAAAGGTATAGTGAAAATGGCTTGCGTGGTAACTCAGATTCATCTATCTTGTAAGATATTTATTTTTATAGGTTTTCTAATCTAATATTATATTATCAAATTTAAAAATTTAATGTAGTTCGGTTTTATGTTAATTTTTTGGAATTATGCTGGAGGTATTAAATTTATTATTTATTTATTTTAATTTATTTAATTCATTATTTAATTCAATTTATCTTATTAATTAATCAAAATTTTATATTTACAACAGTGCCATTTACCTATTGTTACGCGACAGTTTATCTTCATATAATCAGTGTTCGTAACGGACAACCTTTAGAACATTCAGCATACTGGACATATTTTTGTTACGCGTTATTATTGTTCGGATATTTTATTTGGTAATTCGAAATTTTAAATATTTTAAATAGTCAATTTCAATTAAGGTAAATAATATCAATTATTTTTAATTTTCTTTTTATTGTATTTAGGGATACGGCCAATTCACAAAAAAATCGATTCAGGATGATACGTAATGGTACGTACATTCCAAGAAATACATTCCCTCAATTAGTATGGGGAACATTAAAAGATCCAACATATATCCAAACGAAGCATGGTAATTTATTATTGACAGCGGGGTGGTGGGGGATTGCTAGAAAGATCCATTATACAGCAGATTTAATGATGGCATTTTCTTGGGGATTTATTACTGGTTTGAATACTCCAATTACATATTTTTATCCAGTATTTTTTTTTATAGTACTTATACATAGAGTATATAGAGATATGCAAAGATGCGCAAAAAAATATGGAAAAGATTGGGAAGAATATTGTAGGCAGGTACCTTATATTTTTGTTCCCGGAATTTATTGACAAGATAGATTTTTTTTTATATTCTTAAATTTAGTCTTTTAATAAATTTTTTTTTTTTTATATATTCTTAAATTTAATATTTAATAATTAATTATTTAATTAATGTATTTTATGCATTAATAATAAAAATAATAAAAATAATATCAAACATAAATCGATATAAAAAAATTTTCGTGTTTAAAAACAAACAGCGAAATGCTAAACGACGATCTAGATCACCGGGTCTAGGATAGTATCCTAAACTGGGGGGTTTAGATTAAGGATCCTAGTGTATATAAACGCGTCTTTTTCATTTTTTTTTCAACTTTCTTTCTTAACGATAAATTATCAGCGTGAAAATAATTTATTATTATATTTTCCCTTTTCCGCTTTTTATTATTTTTACTCTAAGTTTTATAACTTTTAAATAATATTATTATAATTCTTCTTTCTTTTAGTGATAACTTTGTTGACTATATTTC